GTGGAAAAAAAAAAATCTGCATCTGCTCATCTGTCCAAGCTGACAGGCTTTAGAACCAGGAGACCTGTTTCTCTGCCTTCTGGGCTTTTATTTGTCTCTAGGCTTCTTGGTGACACCTCACCTCTTCTGCCTTCCCCGTTCCTCCTGTCTCTGCACCAGCTTGGGTGCAGCCTGCCTAACTGGTTCCTCTACCTCTCAGGGGCCTCCAGCACCACGGGTTCCTCCTCCTCCCCTCACTGTCAAGGAACAAAAAACACCCCCTTAGACTTACACTGCCCACTTCAGATTTCCTCACTGGTGCCCCAGGTAAAAATTGACAATGGGGAACAAATTGATTGACTTTTAAATGGATACAGATGGAACATAATTCGGTATTTAAACTAACGTAAGTTTGTTGGTTTAATTAAGGTAGACAGGTCTTTAGAGTTATGAGCATTAAATATATGAAACTTTTTCTGGTTTACTGAAGGCCGAGTAATCACATGCTATCTCTGTTACAGTTCATCAGCAAAAAGGTGACTTCAAATGATGGTTAATTTTGTCTGTCTCAAAGTGTTCATGGGTAATTGCTAAAATAGCTTTCAGGGTCTTCAATAACTTGAAACTTTAAAGTTTTGCTTGGGTACTAAACTGGATTAAATTCATTTGGACATTTTAAAAAGTATGAAATGTGTAAGAAAGATATAAGAAATGGAAATACGTACCTTTTCAGTGAAGGTTTAAAAAAAAAAAAAGTAATTTTGTCCTAAATGAGGCTGATTGTTTGGAGAGAAATGGCTTGGGACAAAATCTAAAAGTTATAGAAGGTGTGTAAAGGAAAAAAATGTAACCAATGTTTTTTTTTTCTCTTTTGTCTGTCCAAAAAGATGGAAAGAACTATGATTTTAACCAAAATGGCAGGACAGCATGCCCTTTTGAGTTGTTTTGCTCGAGCTCTGATTAAAAAATTGCCCTTCCTTTGATCTGAAGGCTGGGGAGATGGTGGTGATGTCCTCACTGCTGGCCTCCAAATGCTCCACATTTGTGTTGTTTCTGCAAGGCGGAGGAATGTGCCATATGGCCTGTGCCATACGATGGATGGATGACTGTGATAAATGAAGGGCTTTTTTTTTAATGTTTATTTTTTATTCTTGAGAGGGATAGCATGAGCAGGGTAGGGACAGAGAGAGGGGGAGACAGAGGATCCAAAGCAGGCTGTGCTCTGACAGCGGCGAGTCTGATGTGGGACTCAAACTCATGAACTGAGATCACGGCCTGAGCCAAAGTCGGATGCTCAACCAACTGAGCCACCCAGGCGCCCCTATAAAGGGCTTTTACCCGGAGACATGGGAGCCATTTTGCTACACTTATCCCAGTGTATGCTGACTTGTGCCAATCTAGATACTTTAAAGTGGACACCCACGTGGCTGGAACATATTTATGTGGGCACTGCTGGAAAAAAACAGGTGAATAGACCTCAACTTTGGCCCTTTTAGCCCCCCTCAACAGCCAATTTTATCCTTACGAGAAATGGCTTTCGCCAGCCTTCTGAAATATATTTGTTAAAAGGAACAATTTTATTATGATCAATATGTAAATTACTCTTGGGCCAAGATAAAATTAGTACATCCTTCTACAACCAGGGGAGTCTTGCTTGGTCACAGTCGGTATCCCCCAAAGTCCCACAGGCAGGAAACGGAGGGGTCGGAGAAACCGGGAAGACAAGGTCAGCTCTGGGGGGTAGAGTCAAGCCTGGGTAATAGCGACTATTCCCAGCACCTCGCAAGACTCACAGGGCTTTCGGCTGCCAGTCGCATAGCCAGCCCAACTGTGGGGCCAGATGAGGTTTCTCCTGGCCAGCTATAGGAAACTTTTTCCTATAGATGGGCAACTCCCCAACCGAGGCCAGTACTCTCCTTCGGGACGTATTCTAAAAAATTGGGATGATTTTGACCCACAAACCCTAAAGAAAAGCGACTCATTTTCTTTTGCACCAAGGCTGGGTCCCCATACAAATTGGAGGAGGAAACCTGGCCACCAGAGACAAGTAACAATTAGAACACTATCCTACAATTGGACTTGTTCCCAAACGTGAGGGGAGATGGGGAGACGCCCCCCGTGTCCAGTGTTCTGGGGCCTTCAGAGAAAATTGAGATAGGTGTCAGCAATGTAAGGTCGATCCTGGCCTACTGGCAACCCTTTCCAAGGGTTCACAACTAAGGAGGGAGAAAACTAAGGGTCCCTTGCCTGTACCCAAAGGGAACCTAGGGAAGGAGGAAGGGAAGTCTTCCCCCTCAACCTCCTCCTCCTCGGGTCCCCCATCTGTACATCCAGACTGAAAAAACGTGCACTTCTGCTCCCCGCTGCCCACCTTACCCAGGCCCTCCCTGCAATGTAACAGATGTGTTTCCCCTCACGGAAGCTAGAGGGCCCGGGGTGGGGGGGGGGGGGGGGGGGGCCAACGGATGCAAGGAGGCACCGCTACGATAAGATTGCAAGATTTTACGTTACAAGATTTAAGACAGATAAAGGATCTAGGAAAATTTTGATGATCCGGATAAGTATACAGAGGCTTTTCAGAGAGAATTACACTATGTTTTTGAATTGACCTAAAAAGATATAATGCTTCTGTGGAATCAGACTCTCAATGAAACAGAGAAGCGTGGGGTTCTGACAGCGGCTGAAAGATATGGGGACGAGCAACTCATTAATGATCATGGGACTGGAGACCCTATAGGGAGCTCCCAGTTCCCTACTGGGGCCCCGGCAGCCCCATCCCAAGATCCTTCTTGGGACTATGACCATCCCATTGAGGAATGGTATTGCCACCACTTCCGAGCTTGTGTTTTGGAGAAATTAAGGAGGTCTAAGGTTAAATCTTTAAATTCCACCAAATTAGCCGCTCGCTTACAGACACAGGATGAAAACTCAGTGGTCTTCCTGGAAAGGTGAAGGGAGGCTCTCATTAAATATACGGTTATCTTCCCTAACACCCCTGAGGCTGACACAATTCTAGAGGACAAATTTGTCACTCCATCAGCTCCAGATATTCTCAGAGAAGGCTGCAAAAATTGGCTGTTTTCCCAGAAGGGACCCTGAAGGACTCTTATGAGCTGCCAATTGGGTATATGACAACCAAGATCAAGAGTAAAATAAGGAACAGGAAAAGAAGCTTAGGGAAAAAAGCTGAGGCCTTATGTACTATGTCAGACCGGACTCCCTGAGGTTCTGGTACCAAGTGCCATTTACGAGAATGTCCTCAGAGGGGACAACCAAAGTTCAAACCCCATAAGCCATACCCCTTGTGTGGAAACGGTCACTGGGAAAACAGAGTGTCCTCGGGAACCTCTATCTGCAAGGGTTCAGATGACCAGTGTCCCTGAAAGGGACTGATGGGGTCCAGGGCTCTTCACGGTGGCTCCCCCAAACCAACTACCTATCGGAAACACAGAGCCTCGGGTAACTCCAGATATAGAAGGAAAACTGGTGGATTTCCTTCCTGACACCAGAGCCACCTTTTCTGTCCTCCTTTCCACTCCTGGCCAATCAGCCAAACGCAGTGTAGCAACTAGAGGCGTTTCCAGAAAACTTATGACTAAATTTTTCTCTCAGCCACCGGGTGCATTATGGGGAGACTTGAATTTTTCACATTCTTTTTTGATAATGCCAAAGAGCCCTAGTCCCTTGCTAGGAAGGGCCATTATAACTAAATTAGGGACGATAGCCCTCCTCGCTCCGGGACGGATAAACAATTGCCTAAACTCCTAGCAATCTGGGTATTGAAGATCAATCTTTCCTTGAGGTAAAATTAAATACACCTCATGGGGTTGTTCCTATGGAAACCGGATGGCCAGAGGGAGGTTTGAGGATCGAGAACCAAGCACTAATTCAGGTGCCTAATTATTCTAACCTACAATATCACAAGATCCAAATAAATACGGAAGAGGGAGAAAAGGCTATAGTTACACTGAGTTAAAAAAAAAAAAAATGACCAAACATGTCAGGGATTCTTGGGGATGGCTACCACGTGTCTTTCCCTCCTATGGTGTGACCTCTCTGTAGGAGGCATTGCATTTGGAATATTAACGCTTGTTGGTCTAACATTCTTTGTGTATGTCATTTCAAGATGCCGTCGCATAGGCCAGAAAAATAAGACGTCCGAGAAAATTCTGCTAGCCCAGATGTTCCAAACACCCTCCCATTATATCGGCCCTCTGGATCGACCTCTAAACCTGCCCTAACTACCGTTCCCCTATCATCGCCCCCCTTCAGCAGGAAGCAGTTAAGAAGCGTCAGCCAACGTCCCAGTTCCTAACGGTAGTTAGAAGGCACGTGTTGAGAGCGCGGACTATGATAGGAAAGATAGGGTAAAATAGGCAGAAAGGGAAAGATTAGGACGTGAGGCCCCTGGGTGGAGAAAAACACATATTTTGGAACAACGCCGGGAGCATCTGACCACAGCAAACCCCCACGGGCGCGTAAGGTTCCTCTTAAGAATGTAACAGACCTTGGGGCACCTGGGTGGGTGGCTCAGTCAAGCGTCCGACTCTTGATTTCGCCTCAGGGTCATGATTTAATCTCACAGGTCATGAGTTTGAGCCCCTCGTGACCCCCGAGTCAGGCTTTGAGCTGACAGCTTGGAGCCTGCTTGGGATTCTCTCTCTCTCTTTCTCTCTGCCCCTACCCTGCTCACACACACACACACTCTCTCTCAAAATAAATAAATAGACTTAAAAAAAAAAAAAAAAGAATGTGACAGACACCACTTACTCCCCTCAGGGTCCCCTCAGGAATCTGACAATCAAAATACCTAATGAAAATAAGTAAAACATTAAACTTATGTTGTACAAGGGACAGGAGGACCACAGTCTGACTCCCCACACAAGGGAACCGAGCCAGTCAGGAATGGACAGCCCAGCACCTAGAGTCAATAAGCCAATGAGGACCTGAGAGGAAACAAGGAAGAAGGGATCGGGGGGCGACCAGAACCCTACAAAACGAAGCCCCTTGCCTACAGTCCCGGGCTTTCACTTTCGAATGTCTCCTCTCTGCGAAGAGAGCTTGCATACACTCTACTAAACTTTTGCCTGCTGCTCATTTTATTCTACGTCCACCTTTTCTCATTCTTCGAAGTGGTTCGAGACAACGAACCCCGGTATTGAGGTTAAAAGCGAAATCCTGTAACAAATCTACTTCTCAGGGGTGAGGGGGGAGAGGACAGGGCCGAGGACAGGGTCTCCCCCACTCCCTGATAGGCAGCCATCGCTGGAGACAGCCACTGCCCTGCCCTGGCCCAGCCTCCGTCCTCTCCTGCCTGGACACCGGAGCCCCTCTGCCCTGGGCTCTCTGCCCTCATCCCCACCCCCTGCAATCTGCTCCCCACTCGTAGCCAGAGGGGCCCTGTGAATCCCTGAGTCAGGTCAAGGCCCCGCCGGCACAGAGCGCCCTCTTTCCTTCTAGTGAAAGCCAAGGTACTCATGGGGCCCTTCCCTTCCCCACTCCATGTGGTCTCCTGTCCCCCCTCTGACCTCTCCTCTTCCCAGCCTGCCCTTGTCCACCCCAACCCTGCTTCCTGGCCTGCCTGCTATTCCTCACACCCACTAGACAGCACTCATACCCCAGGTATCTGCTTGGCTCACTCCCTCATCTCCTTTGAGTGTCTGCCCAAATGTCACCTTCTGATGAGGTCTTCCCTGGCCACCCTGTCTAAAGAATCCTCATCACCCTGTTCTGTGTTTCTCCGTAGCCCCTACCACCTTCTAGCATGCCATATCATTTACTGATGGATTGTTTATTGCCTGTGTCTCAACTAGAACGTGAACTTCTGTTTCATGTGTTGCCGCTTCCCCAGTGCCTAGGATAAGATCTGGCACATAGTAGCTGCTCATTGAATACCTGGTGAGAGGCTGAAAGAAAAAATGAAAACCATTTTATCAAAAAGAAATGGGGCAGCTTCCGTGGAGGGCATGCCCTGGGTGCTGGGGGCGAGAATGACGGCCGTATCCCAGGCTCTCCACTCACTAGCCTCTGGCACAGGGCACTTCCCTTGCCTGAGCCTCAGTTTCCTCATCCGTAAAATGGGCATGGCAGTACGTGTAACAGAGTAGAGCCGAAGTTACCCGAGCTCACGCGTGCAGCACCTGCCGTGCAGAAAGCACCTGCCAAGGCTCACACCGTGGGTACCGCTTTCAGGAAACACTTCCCAGGTAAGGGTGACATTTCTCTAGCTCTTGGACCCACCCCAGCTCCCCCCCCCCTTGGCCTAACTGTGTATCACCGGGGTATCCAGGGAGCTGATTTGCTGGGACCCTAGGGTTCCTGGCCACTGAGAAGAAAACTGACACCAACCTCCCTGCCAAATCAAACTCAGTGAGTTCTTCTGGGAGGTGAGATGGAAAGTGCCCAGCAGGACGGACTCTGGCCAGACTCGTTGGAAGCGGCCACCTAGGTGTGAAGTGTCCAGACAGCGTAACCCTGGCCCCCTCATCAAGAGCCCCCCCCCCCTCGCTTCCTGGTGCTGGCTCAGCAGGAAGGTGAACCTTACCTCTGGTGGGGAGAAGCAGGCCAATGATGGTGAGGAGACACAGGCAACCAGAGGGCGACATCTATTGGGTGAGCGGGAGCCGGGGTCAGTCATGATGTCAGGGAGGCAGGCCCAGGGCAGCGCCACCCCCCACCCCCTCCCCGCCTGCCCCTCAGGTCCTGCAGCCCCCTCCTTACCCTGAGCGAGCACCTGTGGCTTCAAGGACCCCCTGCCAAGGCTGACAGCTGGTCTTCCAGGACAGAGGGAGGGTTTTAGAAGCGGGGGACCCGGCCACCACCCCCTTCTTCCATATGCAGATCCCCAAAGGAAACAAGAAGCATCAGACCCATCTGGACTTCCAGTAGCAGTCGCTGCACAGGGACACCCTTGGGGCCGAGAACTCACTCCACCGAGACTGACCCTACAGGGTGCAGGGGTAGAGCAGGGGGCCCGGTGCCTCCCTCTGGGCTGTCCCCAGAGCCGAGGAGTCAGCAAGGAGGGGAAAGAGGAAGAATGAGTAATGTGCTCCCGATCTCAGAGGAAAAAGTGAGCTGGTGTGAGGGGCCTCGTGAGGGGACAATAGAGCAGGATGCTGGGCACTTCGAGAACTGGTGCGAGAGGGATGGCGGAGAGCTGGGGAGACTGAGGCAGGAGGAAGAGGGGCCGGCGGGAGCCCGCCCGTAGTGCCGAAGAGCAGGCGCAGAGACGTGAGCGGGAGTCGGGGGCAGAGAGGCGGGGAGGGGGAAAGATCAGCCCTCCAGGCACCTGAGCCCGGCCCCTGGGCAGAGGGGAGGCAGGCGCAGGCGGATCGCAGGAGAGACTTACGTCAGTGCTGGGGGTCCCAAGCCGGCAGCCTCGTGGACAGAGGGCAGCGGCGGTGGCGGCGTCCCGGCGGAGGGTGTGGCCAGGGGAGAGCTGGCGGGCGGGGACCAAGACGGGCTCAGTCATTTCCTCTCGGGTTTCCTGGCTTCAGAGCCCGCGGTGGGAGCAGGAGGGGGAGTCGCGGAGGGCGATGGGGGGCAGGGGGGAGAGGCCGGGCAGCGGCCTCCACCCACCCGCTGCGGGGGTGGGAGGGAGGGTGGAGGGAGAGCCGGAGAGCGCAGGCAGGTCTCGGTGGGTGGGGCTCCTTTGGGGAGGAGGGGGAGCGGGGGCGGGGTGTCTACTCCCGGGTCTGGGGTGGGAGAGACGGTAAAGAGCCCCCGGGGAGGGGGCGTCGCGCAGGGGAGGGGAAGCTCTGGGGGCTCGGAGAGGGGGTAGGCCACTGGGGCGCTGGGGGAGGAGAGAGAGAAGAAGGGGGGAAGGCTGGGGATGGGAGAGAGCTCCCCCACGTTCAATTTTGCCCTCTCCCCCATTTTGTCCCCACAGATGAGAACTCACAGACAGAACGGGGGAAAAACCCAAATGCACATTTATTAAGCTCAAGACATAGACACCGAGGGTGCAGGGAAACGGATCGGATCTTCGGAGGGGAGACGAGGAGGTGCAGGGGAGCAGTACATGGGGATTCTGGGGGGCTGCGGCTGGACTCCCGGACCCCAGGAGCTGGAGGCCTGAGTCCCTGGATCTGGGATGCAGACGGGCTCTTTGGGGGATCGTCATTGCCAAGACCTGGGGTGGGGCAGCGGGGTGCCGCGGCTCCCGCCTGGGGTGGGTGGGGCGGCTCATTCGGGGGAGCGCTCCCCGGCGCAAGGCTGGGGTCCCCACCGCCTCCACCCGGTCCTCAGGCTTCCGTACTCAGGCAGGGACAGCAGTGGAGGTGCCCAGGGCTGGTTTTACACACCGCCACCTCCAGGGGCTGGGGACCGGGGTCGGGAGGAGAGAAAGAGACCGAGAGAGAGGGTCAGAGAGCTGCGGTCAGCGACCAGAGAGGTGCGCCCCGCCCCCCCCCACCGCCCGTGGGGGGGCCCCCCCCCCCCCCCCCGTCGTCTCCTGAAAGCCAGACCCCCCAGGGACTGTCACCCTTGAGCTAAGCACTGAGGAGCTGTCTTGCCTACCACGCCCTGCTCCATTTAGGGACACTTGTGTGGCTTTTGTCCGCCCCCACAGGACACCGTCATGGAGGGGAACACACTTGTGATGAGGCTGGAGATCCCTGGCCCAGCTTGGGACTTTCTGGGATGTCCCCCTGCCAGAAAGAGTCTCTCTTCCCTTCCTATGTCCCCAACCTCCTCTTACAGCCCATCCCATTCCCACACCCCATCTCCCCAACATTTGGACGCAGTCAGAATTCCCCCGTTTCCCACCCACTTGGGACCATCGCTCAGCTGTAGCGGGTCACAGTCCCGTGCATAATCCGAGACCTTGCCCCCCCCCCCCCCCAGTCATCCACAAAGTGCCCCGTTAGGGTTTTTAAATCTCGTCAAGAGAATATGAAACAAAACACATGAATTTCCACACCAAATCCCCCCAAGCACTGAGCACCCCAGGCCCACTTTTTAGTTATAAGACCTTTAGGAGAGGCAGAGAGGTTCCCTTCTGGTTTTTAGACGTCCCTGGAAAGGACGCAGTTCCACTAAAAGCAGGTCAAGATATTTTTACATAATTCAATTAACACCCCCAAGGAGTCACAATCTTGCATCTAAGGTTTATTCCCCCCTGCATCCTAATCTCTGTCCATCTTCCACACCCTCTCCACACCCCCACACCCCTCACCCCTTCACACCTGACACCCCCCCCACCCCCCCCCCGCAGTCCTCACCCCCTCACACACCCCCTCCACACTCCCCCACCCCCTCCACCCCCTTCACCTCTTCACACCCCATCGGACCCCTACCCTCTCCACATCCCCACCCCCTCCACACCCCTCACCCCTTCACCCCTCCACACCCCCACCCCCTCCCCACCCCTGACCCCTTCACATTCCCACCCCACTCCACACCCCCTCCACACCCCTCACCCCTTCACCCCTCCACACCCCTCACCCCTTCACCCCTCCACACCCCCACCCCCTCCCCACCCCTGACCCCTTCACATTCCCACCCCACTCCACACCCCTCACCCCCCCACACTGCCACTCCCTCCACACCACTACCCCCTCCACTGCCCCATCCCCTCTAACACTTCCATCCCCTTCATCCCCAACCTCTTCACTCTTTGTCTGTGCTTTCCACCCTCATACTCTTGACATCCCCATATTCTCTCTTTCCCGAGGTCAGTTTTTAAAATCCGTATTCTATGCATTTCTCCTTTTGTTATTTCGATACAATTATCCAGGAACCCTTCCTTCCTTCCCTCCCTCCGCCCTCTCTTCCCTTTCCACATTCCTGTTTTCTTTTTTTAAGTCATCTCTACACCCAATGTGGGGCTCAAACTCACAACCCTGAGATCAAGAGTCATGTGCTCCACCAACGGAGCCAGCTAGGTGACCCTTCCCTCCTTTTTCTTGATCCTTTCATCCTCCTTCTTCCCACCTGAACAATGAAGTCCGGAAAATATCCTGTCTCCCTGCCTCCTCTGGCGCTCCACTCTTTCCCCATCCGGACCTCACAAGTCCTTCTCCCGAGTGGGGCCCCTCTCTTCGCAGACTTGTGGCTTTCTCCTCTGGGGGATCATTTCATCCTTGCTCTCAAGGGCCTCTGTACTCGCTTCTGGGAAGCACTGGGGACTCTAAGACATTTCACATCCCACTGACTCTCCATGGTTTAACCTCTTTGGTCTGCGGGGCCTCAGCTCCTACTGAAGCTGCCACATCCGTTCTCGGTGGCATCATTCTCAGGGACGTCCAACGCAGCTCCCCTTCCCCCTCCGGCCCCCACCTCTTCTCCTCCCAGACCGTAACTCCCAAGCCCTCACCTGAGGAGGGAAGCTCCGACTTACAGGATTTGCATGTTGGGCTGTGGAAACAGAGAGAGGGAGAAAAGCCTAAAGAAATCCGGTAGGTAGCCGTGGGCTTACTAGGAAGGACGGGGCAGGCTTTGGGGACTTTCTGTTCTGGAAGTGCCCCCGCACCCCAGGCCACCCCCACCCCTCTCCCCTCTCTCCCCACTGCTGCCAGACCTCTCAGACCTGGAGTCCGCCTTCCTGCACTTCACCTTCTTGCCTGTTAGGAGACAGACACAAGGAGACGGGACATTAAGGGTCTGGACAAAAGCCAGCGGGGAAATGGGGGGGGGCCAGCGACGCCCCCCCCCCCCCCCGCCAACCCGAGGCAGCCTCCTTTGAGGGGCTTCGGAGCCCAGGAAAGGGTCACACTTACTGATGATGATGAGGATGCCTAGCAGGAACAATATGGTGGCCAGAGTCATGCCCACAGTCTGCACCGTGTCATAGTCTGGGGAAGATAATGGGGGATGTCAATGTGGGCTAGCACCTCAGGCCTCCCTGGAGCCTCGACCGGGCTTCAAGTCGGCCCGCCGGGGTCCAGAGTCCAGGGATGCTGCAGGCCGTGCCGGGGGCTCCCCCGGTGGGCTAGTGTGAGGATGGCGAGCGGAACTTGGTCCCTAGACCTTCTCTAGAAGGTCTCTACCCTTCTCTACCCTCTACCCTTCTCTAGATTCTTTGTGTATACGTAAAACCTTCTTCTACATCATATATACATACATGTATATATGATACATCCATGATATCTACATCATATATATAATCTCACCTCCTTCTACAGCTGGGTCCCCCTGGTTCTGTCCACCACTGCCACCTGTCCGAATCATTGCAGGAGGCAGCCTGCACTGTGGTCTCCTTGCCCCCTAGCCACGGGATCCTGTTAACATCTAAGTCAGATCCGGGTGCTCCGGAGCTCAGAGGGCCCCACCCCACCCTGGCTTCCACTGCATTCCAAGGAAAAGCCAAAGTCCTCACCACAGCCCACACGGCCCTGCATCACCTGGTCCCCGCTCCTTCTCAGACCTCACCCCCTCCACATTCTCCCTCAGTCCCCTACCTCGGGCATATTGGTCTCTCTGCCATTCCTGGAGCAGATCAGACACGGTCTTACCTCAGGGCCTTTGTATTTGCTGTTTCCTCTGCTTCAAAGCTCCTCCCCCAAATATTCCTTCCTTACCAATGTCTGGGCTTTATTC